AACGTCGTGATTGTTTTTTGTTTTAATATAATTTTATTGTATTTCTACATACGTGACTTTACCGAAAAAACCAATGAGTAATTGCCCCCACAGTCTGTTAAAGGCTACACAGGGGTACGCAATGCAGCTGTTTGAATGTGGTAGTGTCCTCTTTCCTCCCGGCGTGTGGGTGCGTGTGGTGTGTGCGACGCACACACTCAGTCGGAGACGAGGTCATCGCAGGAGGCACCGTCTCTTTATTATCCGCGGCCTCCTCACTCTCGACCACGCCGCCGTACATGCCCGGCCAAGCAATGATCGGGCGAAGGCGGAAGCAACGACGAGACGAGTCCACTCCCAGAACCGGCAGCCCGGAGCTCTCGCCCTCCACTGCTTTTATTCTACTTCGGTGCGGCTTGGCTCCGCCCTGGCCCCGCCTCCTTTCCCGAACCCACCAGAGGGTTCCAGGGGCCTCCCTATGAGGTCTTCCCATGACCCTTGCCCCAGTTCCTCCGCCCTGCTGGCACACACACCGTGTATGTACTCAACGGCGTGTGCGCTGTCCACCGCAGTTGCCCGCTGCTGGATAGCAGTCGGCGTTGTGTCACTGCACATGTATTGTACAGGTTTTGAGCGGTAGTGTAGTGGTTAGTGCACTTTGCTACAAACCTGGCGACCCGGGTTCGATTCCTGCTCACGGCCAACACCAGTGACGATTATCTGAACCGGTCCTGGTCCTCCCCTAGGTTGACTCGGCCTCAAATGAGTAAGGGGTGCGGTGTGTAATAAACATCGCCATTGGCGAGACAAAGGCTGCCTGGGCGTGGTGTTGGCCACCCACCCCCTTGTGTGTCGTGGTGGCCTTCATTGGTGCTCGCTAACAGCACTTGTCCCAACAGTCTGTAACAGGCTACATGGGGGTCTTTGTACTGCTGTCGAGTGTGTGTGTGTCTTTGTATTTGCCTAACGAGGCTGTCATGTAAGTGATTGGCAATCTGCAGCTCTTTGCCAATCCACTGCTGGGCGACTGCCTTGGCATGGGCCGCGTGATGGGAATTCAGTCGGAGAGGGCTCGCGCGATTGAAGATTTTTTGTCGTAAGAGATGCAGCTGGTGACCACATCGGAGTTAGTGTAATTCGAGGGTAGTTATTTAAGGTGGTCCCGATATCAATATGGTGGAATGAAGAGTGTAGGGTGAAGAGTTGGAGTGACTTTTAGACAGCTTAACTCGATTATTAAAAGCATACAGTCGTGCCTAAAGAAGAACAACAGCAGTGCCTAGAATCGGAATCGTTCACATGAACAAAGCAGATAAAACAAAAGCTGAAGACTGCAACGAAGCATGTGGAGTGTGAGTGGCTGATGATGGAGTGGCTGCAAAAGGAGGACAAATGGGGGGTGACCACCTATGAGATGGAGCGGTGAATTCGCGTTCAGGAGCTGGATGGATTGTTCCATCACGTGACTCTGAGTGATGGTGACAGCATGGGGGGTGGTGTGGGGCAGGAGGCCTTCATTCATCATGACCGATGATGATTAGAGATTATGTTTGAATTTAATCTCGATTCAGCACATGAACATTACTACACACATTTACCGGATTTACCACTTAACAGTTGAAGTACAACCAACTTTTATTCGAATAAAAGTTGGTTGTAAAATCCAGAGGCTAGATAATATATATAAACTTTACATCCTTCCATGCACCCATCTCTATATTTTTGTCTAATAAATGCAAAATGACTCTGCGAATGAGTTGAAGTCATAATATGAGAATATTTAGTTACACGTAACAGATCCCAACCAATCTGAAGGCAGTTGACCTTTTCACACAAGGTTGACATGAATCCGAATATTTAAAGGGCTAAACTGTGCCCATGAGACATCACGACCTCCATCCGGATGTTAACGTGCACGACAAAAATTGACGTTGATAGATATCGCATCCCCGTCTTACAGCGGCAGTGTTAATGTGGGTGAGTTGTTCCCGCGCAAAAAATAAGTTCAGTCAACGCCACAACGGCAATATCCATTTTATGGAGGGGGTAAACTAAAAAAAAGCAATAGATAAATCTTTTCCCCAATTTGATGCCGATGAATGCTATCGGCATCGTGTGATGAGACGAAGCATCCGTGTGGAACGCTCGCGGTGTAACCCGTCATGTTAACGGCTCGCGGAATCGGATACCACCGCTACCGTGGTTTCCCTTCTGAGTAACCTCTGATGCGCACATAGGAGGCAGCACCTTGAGAGGAATGTTTGTCACATGACAGTCAAACCGATCTTCGTCATTCTTCGAGCTGTAATTTAGGCAAATGAAGTACAGAGCCACGCTTAGCGTGATGGTATATTTTGTACAGTCGATGGTGACCAGCTGGAGATCATCCACTCTGCTATCCTTGAGAAAATGGTACAATCCCAGTTGGCTGAAACCTGGTTTCCAACCCAAGACACTCAGCGGTGGCAGCTCATTGCTGTGAGTCTAATGGTGCCACCGCATGAGAAGAATCTTAAGTCGATGCCATCATCCACTCTGCTATCCTTGAGAAAATGGTACAATCCCAGTTGGCTGAAACCTGGTTTCCAACCCAAGACACTCAGCGGTGGCAGCTCATTGCTGTGAGTCTAATGGTGCCACCGCATGAGAAGAATCTTAAGTCGATGCCTTATATCGCTGTGAACTTTGTATAAATTGTGTTTCATGCACTTTTAAGTCGGCAAAACATTTTCCCGATGTGGAATGTGGTCCAGTTGCTTTCGGGATGCTGCTGTGCACCCACCGGCACCAGCAGTGGCCGTGAAAGAGAGATGCATTTAAATTTGCCGGGCACGGGCTCAAAGGCCAAAAATGCTAACGGCACTTTTGAAGTTGCATGAGATAAGAATGAATACTGTTTCTGGAAATGACCCGCGGGGTTGTTAAGAGGTTTAAAAAATAGACTATTGGAAGGAATCCAAAGTCCATCATTGCCAAGCAAGCAGAAAGCACGGGGGTGTTTTTGTCCTTCGATACGGTGATTTAAATTGTGATATGGATGAGACCAATCGATCAAGTCTATAAAAAAACAGGGACTCTATTTACGAACGAGTTAGGTTCCAGAGGTCTGTTCGTAAGTCGATTTGTTCGTAATTCCAACTTTACTCCTGCCGATTCCAAACATGTATGGCATGCACACTAAACACGGGGAACGGAGATGCCACTGTTTCTTCATATTCTGCAGATGTAGATGCCGCCACCTCCAGTTTAACTTAGGACTCAGTCCGAACAGGCAACTGGATATACGAACAGGTTTGTTCGTATCTCTGAAAGTTTGGAAGTTGAATGTTCATAAGTAGAGAAGTCCCAGTACAGTCCTTAAAATAGGTGGAACTATTTATACTTTTAAGTGTTTTCTCCTGCCGGATAGTGTTTTATAAGCAGTCTCCCTTCTTAACCTCCTTCCATTCCTCTTTTAAAGCTCACCTCTTCTCCATTGCCCATTCTCTTCCCTCCCCCACTTTTCCATTTCTTCCCTTCTCTACCCTTCCCACCTTCTATCCTAGATACCCATTTCTTATGCACTTTTAAATCTAGATTGGAAACTAATTTCTTTAGAGCTGCCTTTTGTGTTGCGTTTTTGTCCTTCCCCCGCACCTCCAATTAGCGCGTTTGGCTACGTACGGTGCGAAAGAAGTTCAACGTACATACATGCGCCCCTGCCATGTAAATAATTATTGTTTAAATATGTTAAGTGCCTTTAACAAATTTTAAAGAAGATAAGATGTCAATAGAATGTCACGACCAATATTATTTTTTTTTCACCTGAAGACGATTGCTTGTGTTGTGATCAAAACTTCGTGATTTTGATTTTTTTTTTATCTACGTGGCTTTACCGAAAGACCCAAAAAATATGAATATTCATAATCCGTTTCTTTTAGGTCAGACCGTGCAGGTAAAATGTCAGGAAGCAAGTGCTGAGCTTTTTTTTTACATCTGATGATGCTCGATGTAATCTCCAGCGGAACGTCGGACAGCGTTGTCAAATATTTTGATTGCTTTTTAACATTCCTCTGGTTTTTGCCTAAGCACCAAATCGATTGCTGTATTTGCCCACGTGATTGGCTTTGTCAAATGGTGAGGACGTTATTGTTAACAAAAATACACCTCTACATAAACTCAAGTAAAATTAATTATGAAGTGATTGCAGTGGAGTGGTTGAACACATGTGTGTATGTACACATATATAAATATAGAGTACTTAAATTTACCTCCGATTTTTCTCAACATTTAGAATCAACATGCATTTAGAGGTATTTGGCTGCGATATATTTCCACGTGATAAGCCACTTTGTGGCCAGGTCGCTTCTGAAAAAGAGCTACTGTATAAAGTGGGCCTTACCTGGTAAAATATAAATTGTTTAGTAGTTTAGTTTACGTGGAGGAGACAAAATAGCCTGGTGGAACAATTTCTCAGCGGTGGTGGAGTATTAAATACTGCGGCAATCTATAACAACTTGCTTGAATGTAAGTAGGAAGTTTGATTCAAATAAGCCGAGTTATTTCTCATTCTTATTCATGGAAAAAAAACATTTAAATGTCTCAACGGGAAATGATTGTTTCGTCTGGCTGCATGTGCAAGTGGTTTGCGTGGGCTGAGTTAGATGAAAATGTTAATTTTCTATTCACGTCAAAAAACGGTACACTGGTCAGCATTTTAAGGAAATACTCGGATTCTAAGTATGCGATTAAGTTCTAGTTACATTAAATTGATCTGCAGGGTTTTTGTCGTGCATTTATGTTGACTCAACCACATGCCTGCCTTCGTGACTCTCACCCATGTGATAAAAACTGGACTTTTAAATAGAAGATTGTGAATTCCAGGAGTTAATTATAGACAGAGCCAGTGGTTATGTCACACTCTGCGTTGTCATTTTTACTCAGCAATTGCCAAGTCAGTTTAGTGGAACCTTCAATCCAGTCCAAAGTATGAGTGTACAAAATTCTGCATTATCATGCTTTACCATTTCCTCTGATGGCAGAAGTACATTCGACTGCCACACCCATAAGGCACGGGATGTCAAACCTGCTCCCAGAAATCCCAGTGTTTGACCCGGGCGGGCGTGGGATGAGCGGGATCACATCAGCTGAGCAAGGGCAGCACGGCCTGCAGGCAAACAACTCGACGGTTTTACATCCTCCGGGTAAGTCCCCGCAACGGTACTCGTTTCCCACGCAACAAAGACTTTACGTTCTCCATGGAGCCTTCATAGAACGTTAGGGGGTGGGGGGGGTGGCGGGCAAGTGCCCTTGGCGAGAGCCGATGAAGGCCGGCACGGCGGCGCACTCGGGGTGGGTCCCGTGAGCAGCACCGCTCCCCGGCGCTTTTGTCTCCCCAGCGCTGATGTTCAGCCACCACACCAGGCACTCATTTTAGGCCGAGTCGACACTGTGGGAGGCCCAGGACCCTTTAAGATGATCACCACTGATGTTAGCCGTGGCTTGGAATTATTGAACTCGGATCGCAGGGTTCATTGCACCTTGTGCTAACCACTACTGATCCCAGTGACCACCGCTTGTTTTACTGCACATTCACATTGTGATTATCGTTTGGACATTATTCATTTCTGTAACATGTTATTAATTAACAATATTTACGTGGAGGTGTCTTTGGATATGTCTGTGTATATTTAACTTAATGCGAAACTGGTTAACTATTTGTAATTATGCTTATTCGCGTTGTAAAATGCTATCTGATTATCACTCATATCGCAAAAATAGCATTTGCTGAGGCATGCCTTAGGTATTGCCGGTGGTTGCAGAATAGAGATTGTTAGCCCCAGTGGTATGTTCACTGCCTTTGACACACAGTATTGACATGGTTAACTGTGATCACTGTGTTGCATAACCCAGCTTTGAATCTCGTAATTTGTCTACGAATGCCGCTAGAATTTTCATTATCATATACATGGAGAGGAAGTACTTTTAAGTTAGAATACTTTACTTTCAGGGCATTGTTAAACATTGTGGCCCTTCATAGCGAAACTAGTGTCATTTTCATTATCAGCTACATGGAGAGGAAGTACTTTAAAGTTATAAGTTAGATTACTTTCATGGCATTGTAAAACATTGTGGCCTTTCAGTATCTCATTTGCCTTTCTGGGACGTGCTTTATATGTTTCGAAAGATCAGTAAAGAGATGGACGCGTAGACACATCTCCACCGCACAGCTACATAAGGGAAGAAGTTCGTTGCCTCCTTTTTTTTTAGACGGCACCTTGACAGAGTGACGTGTTGGGCCGATTTATAATTCACACCACGGGTTGACCTGCTTCCTTTTTATTAAGAGTCCATCCGCTCACGACTGATAAGTTAACGTTGCTGCCCGATGTTGAAAGATGCCCATCACTGCATCTGTGACCTCTGACAATCGAGCCGCTGCACAGAGCTAAAATATGATAAACTTTAAGGCGGCTGCTCGTCGCACTGCAATTCTTTGCAGATGATGTCAGGTTTATATAAAAAAAAAATTCCACGTGGTGAGGATTTACATTTCATCAGACTGGAAAAGCCCCTCCTGATTCATCACAGTTGGTCTGAGAGAGACAATGTTTCCTGACTGAATCACCTACAAGTGTATCATTGTCCACCGCGGAAAGAGTGACGCACGCTTCCATTGGGCTTGAGTTGCACGGCAGCACCAAACACTGCCTTGCCCATGTTTTGTCTGGTCCGGCGTTCACAGTGGAGACAACACCGGGTTCATCCTGGATGACCTCGGCAGAAATTCAAAAGATCCTTCAAGAGAATGAGATTTTGAGAGAGCGGATGAGAGGCCTGCAGAGCCTGGGTAAGTTTTGTTTCTGAATTTATTTACTCTTTGCTGCTGTTGATTTAGGGCAGTAGCATAGTTCATGATAATTTAATTGATGATGATCTACTGTAAATGTTTTAATGTTTCAAATGTTTAATTACAAAAAAGGTAGTGATTCACTGTAACCCTCCCACGCGATTGAACGAATTGTCATAATACGGGCCCACTCTTTGATCCAGAAATCAGATTTTTTTTTCCCTCAATGATTTAATTTAATCTTATTCTTGATTTAATTTTCTTGGCAGGAATATCTCTCAACCTAAGATGTAATTTACACTCATGTTTAATGCCAATATTGATTATTGTTCAGCATTCTGTAAATGATGATAGATTTACCAACCGTGAAAGATGTGCAGCATTGCATGCACATTTCTCAACAACAAAGTGGTCACATAATCACTTATTTTGAGCCTCTGGTCTGGACAAGGCTCAGAGCTCTTTTGCACATTCATTGACAATTGTGCTATAATATTGCACGCAAAATTCAGGGACGTCAGAAACAGTTTATGCGTTTTTATTTTCCGTGGCCGTTGCCTGACACGTCGTGACATTACGCTGGCTGAGAAATTCTGAATTGAAATATACAATTGGGAGGGGGCTTAGGGGGGTGGGTATACCAAAGAGAGCAGAGCGATATTAAAGTGATAAGTGTTATGATGCTGCATTGGTGGTGGTGCACGTTTGTCAACTCAACGCATTCGTCAATACTGCTGTGCTCGTGTAACAGGACCAAAACATAATGGGACAGAACTTTGCCCATCATATTTGCATGTATCTTTCGTACTGTACATAGCCAACCGTGCTAATCAGAGGTGTGGGGGGGGGAAGGACAACAAACTGAACACAAAGCAGTTCTAAATAAATTAGTTTCCAATCTAGATTTAAAAGTGCATAGCTCTCCAGTTGCTTCCTAATATCGGAAGGAAGAGCGTTCCAGACGGCCGCAGAAGGGCATTTGAAAGCGCCCGATGCTGTGACTGTCGTCAATCGATGGTTAACCAAAAGCCGCTGCTGCAAGGATGGACAAAGTTTGCGTAATGATGTATGTTCCTTGACTAGAAAAGTGAGCTCAGTAGTGGTTATCCTTGATAGCATGCCGCATATGCGCGATTCGGTCGTTGAGCAACGAAAGAGAACAATTGAGCAACGTTTGACCTTTGTTACCTGAAATATAAAAGTTATAACACACGCGATTAATCGACTCTCCCCCCCCCCGTCACCCCCCCCCCTCGCCCTGTCCCCCCCCCCCCGCCCTGTCGACACGACTTTGAAAGAGCGCGCGTACAAAAGTGGTTGGTCGTGGCGGTGTTGACCCTGTGCCCTCGTCTCGTTCCCTGCGTCTTGAAGGCCTGCTCCTTAATGAGTCCCAGGCAGAGGCACTGCGGTTAAGGCAGAGGGTAGAGGACTTGGGTCGTGAGTCTCCTCCCAACGCTTCTTTTCAACGCTGTCTTTCCCCAAACAGCTCCTCCTCCTCTTGGACAGGTGGGCAGCCCCCGCTAGCACCACCCACAGCAGCGACGGGGTGGTAGTCGTAGAGTATGTATTTGTTTACGTCTGTGTAACATTGTGGAGTTTCTTTTGGAGTTTTTTTTTTTAAGAGGCGTTTGGCACAGCTCCAAGTGGCGTTGGTATTGGAACGCTGGGCTTGGTCAGGTGAGCTGTGTGAGGTTGGATTCTGTCTGGGAGTCAATTCAGTTTGTCGTTTCTCCAGGGGGTTGAATGAGATAAGTGCCGCGATGTGGAGATTCAACAGCGGTTGTTCATTCGGAGAGGGAAGCCCGCAGCCATAGGAATGTTGAAATTCAGTCACTCGTTCGGGGCTATAGCCGGAGATGTACAATACCCGGTGATAATCTCGTGAGAGTTTTAGTATTGGCGTAGTCGACGGTGACCAGTGGGATTTTAGCCAAGTTTTGGGATTTTTAATTTAGTCATTACAATAAATTGTACTGACTAAATCAAATCCACAACACTAAGACTTGATTAAATTTGCCAGGTTTCCCCCTGTGATGAGCAGAGGTATTTATATCGATATCGTGTAATGGGCTGCTCATCGTGTATAATGAGCTGAGGGATAAACTGGTCTAGCTGAGAATAGCACGTCATTTATAAGCTGCTGTTGTTAATCACGGCAAATGGAAACTCGATAGGGAAAAATAATGGCTAAAAGCTTTGGCTATCAGTGGCGAATCACGTTTGGGGTAAAAAAGAAAAACCCCAAACTTCATGGGTCTGGAATTGCAGAGGGCAGAGGGTGACATTATCAAACTGTTTATATGAAAATGTGCGCATGAGACGGCGATGTCTTTCCAAAATAAAGATGATGATATGGTTTGAGCTATACAGAGATGTATTTTAACGCAAGGGCTTTCCACCTCGAGGAGCTCGTCATGTTAATAATATGTTGGTGACTCATCGACCGAGTAAAACAGTCGTCGTACAAAAGGGACCACGCCAAAAAAAGCCTCTTGGCTTTATCGCTATGGTCTAGAAAGCCGCGCTTTGGTTTGGTGTACAACTGAGTTATTGTGTCCCACTGAATTCAGCATCGTGCTTTAAATGCGTTGTATTTTTTTAAAATTTAGAAGCCGTGGTTCCACCTGGCATCTCTTGGTCAAAGCAATATTTGAAATTCGAAGGAAGCTCTTCTAAACCGCAACCGCCAATGGTAAGTGTTAACCAAAGTAGTGTCTTTCACACGCACTTGCCTCTGTTACATAATTGATTACATTATTTCAATCTGTAAGAGTTCGGATGTCTTGAGTGTGAGCTGGTTTCGTGGTATGATTTTCTTGATCATTGTTGATATGATATTGACAGTTATGAACTAATACAATGTCATCCATTGTCATTCTACTGCTGGATGAAGGCCACTTCGCACTGCATTGGTCATTGAATAATTTTTGTTAACTCACCACGTTGATGGGTGTAGGTGGTGAAGTGGGGTGGGTAGTGTCCAGGAGTTGGCACAAATGTTTACTTAGGGTGTGTGTCAGTCTTTACCAGCAATCAAATTCGGGTCACTATGTCGATAATCCAGTGCAAACAGCCTCCAACCTCCCACAGTCACGAGAGGTTTATTATCGACTTGTTGATTTTTATTCTAACAGACATTTTTGATATTTATTTTAAGTTTTAACTTTAACCAGCTGAGAACTGGATGTCGCCTCATTTGAAATAATAATCTTTGTTACCAAAATTAAAAGGTATAGAAAATGAAGTACAAGTTAGTTTGATTGTTTGATTTATCCATAAAACCACAACAATTATAGCCATTATAATAACCATAATTTATCTATTTCTTTCAACTTGCGGTTGCCCAATTAAGCGTTTGGTTTGAGCTTCCACTCTTGACATTTTCTATTTAGAATTTTGTTTTTTTATAATTCCAGTACTTACAGAAAATAATCAAGAGAATTGTCAAAAAACTTAAATAAGATTTGACAGTGAGAGACATTTAAGATTTTGTGTAGTTTTGCTGTTCCTCTTCCGTTTGTAGGACCGCAGACTTCTGTGGTTAACTATGTAGTCCATAGTTTTATCCTTTGATGCAGGTCTACATTCTCAAGAGAACACATTTGCTATCTATCATCCAGCAATAGAACATTGTTCATAAGTCAAACTTTAGCTAAGTTGTCAACTTAATTTGCTTAAAATCACCACCACAGTGTAAAAAGTGCAATCTCCAAAATTAAGTCTGTTAATCGGCGAGTCCAGGTTACCCTAAAGGAAGGTAATTTGGCCAAAATGTCGACCCCTTTGCACATTTCAATTGGGGCCCGCCACGGTGGCGAGATGTTGACTACCTCGTCTGGTATACAGGAGGTCGTTGGTTCGATACCAACCCTGATGCCTGTTGTGTATTTGGAGTTTGCGTCTCTCCCCCGTGGTTGCATGGATTTTTCTTTGGGTCCTCCGGTTTTCCCCTTCACATTTAGAAGCATGCTTTTTAGAATATTTACACGTGGTCGGCCACTTTATTGAGCTATTATTTGTGGCCAGGTCGCTTCTGAAAAAGAGCCGTTATGGCTCGGTGGGCCTTACCTGATAAAATAAAATAGTTTATTTGTTAGGCGGTGTTTATGACTAACCTGGTGAGTATTTTTTTTATATTCATGCTTTCTTAATGTTATATTTGTTTAAGCATTGCCGGTAGAGACTTAATTTTATTATGCCTGGGAAATCATGAACACTACAAATCCGCGATATTAAAACAAAACTTTAAACTCCCTTGTCAGAAAAGTGTTAACAGTATTGTTAATGCCGGGAGTATTATTCTTGAGCAAGATTGCTGTTGGGCAAAACTGCCAACACAATACTTTCTATAAATAATATTTTGTTATGATACTTGCTGCGTAGCATGATTACATTTGAACACTTGCATGTGAGTATGCATGCACCTAATCTGAATGTCCTAATCTTTTTCACAGGATATTTTGGCACAATTTATTTTTTTAAGCATTTGTATTGTTTGTCCTGTTTGGAGTAAGCTTTGGCATTTTTTTATGTTAATTATTTAAGTTTTTGCTCTTGTAATTTTTAATATTCCCACCCTGCAGTTTCTTGTAACTACAGCCACTGCTGAAGATGCTGCTTCGTAGAGCTCAATGTGGCCTTAGTAGCTGAAATAATAGCCCGAGTCTCTATGAAACTCTGTGAGTCTTTGTCACTCAATTGCTCTCTATGTAACTCTTTGTTCCTGCAACGTCCTCCAACTGTCGCCACGGTCTTGGCCTGTTGAGCTAAACATTCCTCGCCAGTTCAAATGAAGTCTAGCGTCTTGCATGCTCACCTGTACGTGCGTTTACATGGCTTCCGTGCGCACGTTTCTTCCTACACCTGAAGGCCCCCCCCCCCCCCCCGCAATCCGCCAAACTAAAACTGGGAGGCTCCCTTTAACGTAACCAGTTTGCCAGTGCTGGATGGGTTGGGTCACTTTCCGCGTTCTTTTCATTTCCCCCGAAAACCAGCACGAAGTCGCGGCCCTCCAACCACCAGACGTGCAGCTGAGAGACGTGTCGGCGCAAATGCAGCGATTGGAAGACTCCATCATTCACTGCGCCACGGAGCTCGCCGAGTCGGCCGACGCTGCCGCGCGGGGAACGTCCGCCGCGGGACAGCCGGAGCCGCCGGGGGAGTCGCCCAACGTGGCTCAGCGGGCCCAGACGGACCTCTCGGAGCACTTTGCCCGGCTGGCTCACAAGTTCCACCAGCTGTCCGGCGTCGTGAAGCAGAACAGCCAGAAGACCTCGTGCATGCAGGTGTGTGTGAGAGAGAGAGAGACGTGCATTGGAAAATAGCATTGTTGATCAAAAAAAAATCTAATATCCTTGTTTCATTTTTTATATACGCAGGGACTCCTCTAGTTACGAACATTCGACTTATGAACTTTCAGAGATACGAACAAACCTGTCCCGTATGTCCAGTTGACTGTTCGGACCGAGAGTCGTAAGTTCAACCGCCGCACAATAGATGGCAGTGGTGGCATCTACATCTGTAGAACATGAAGAACCAGTGGCATCTACAGGAGATTATACAACTTTTAAAGCTGTTCCTCGTGTTTAGTGTACATGCCATACATGTTTGGAATAGGCAGGAGTAAAGTTGGACTTACGAACAAATAGACTTACAAACAGACCTCTCCAACTTAACTTATTTGTAAGTAGTCCTGTAAAGGAAAAGCCTTAACGAGTCTTGGGACTTGTTCAATCAGGACACATTTCAGCTTATCCATTAAGTTATACATAAGGAGTTGCATACATTGTTTATTTTTTTAAGCAGATATACGGACACACACAGGTCCCTTAGGTGAACCAGGTGAGAACCAATTGAGGCTACAATGTTTTTAATTTTCGAAATGAGACGTGAAAATAATAATAATTTACAGGTAATTTACAGCTCTCTCTCAATCCACTGCTGGATGAAGGCCATGGGGTTGTTTGACTATACTTCACCACCGTGGCTTGTGCAGGACGGTGAAGGGGGTCCCCAAGACTGGTTGAGATACCACTCGCCACTGACGTTAACCTGGCATCGAACTCGCGTCACCGGGTCGTTGGCGAAGTCCACCTATCGCTGTCTAGAAAATAAAGCCTAAACCAAAACGAAGTCTTGCGTTGAGTAGTTCACATATTTTTTTAAGTTAGGTATCTGAGAAATGTTGCCGTCCTGAGACATTGCAAAACTACGTGACGGATTATGCACAGGGATTCCTACCGTGGCCTTGTTTGCGGTGACTTAATGCGGTACCAGACCCCTAGACAGTGTGTTCATTATTCATAAACAATGGCCCACTCTTTGAAATAGCCAGGCACCTAACCGTATCGTGCCTAGCTTCCTACGCGGGTGAAAGGGACCCCTTTGTGTTTAAAGGAAACAGCAGAGACTATTGTATGGTGCAAGTTAATGCAACTGGAATAGGAATTTCCAACGGCTCTTTACACCTGTCCACAATTTCACCATAACACTTGTTTCCTGAATGTGGCCCATCACCTGGGGTATGGCTACTACAAGACTGAGAAGACTATTATGAACTATTTTTATTTTTACCAGGTAAGGCCCGATGAACTATGTAGCTCTTTTTCAGAAGGGACCTGGCCTGCAAATGATAGCTCAACGAAGTGGCTATTCGTGTTGAAAATTATCGTAGCCAATTGCTCTAAACGCATGTTTTTGAATGTGGAGGGAAAAACTGGAGGACCTGGAGAAAAATCCATGCAACCACAGGGAGAACATGCATACTCCAAAATATACAGGAGTCAGGGTCAGTGAATCTTACCTGGTAAAATAAAAATAGTAAAAAATAGTTAATTTGACCTACTCTTCCATGCTGGTCAGACGTCTTGGAAGAGGCGGGAATACCCACACTTTACCCCATCGCACATGACCTGCCGATCGATAGGTCATATGTGGTGGGGTATGACTAACTGGTTTTCCCGTTTATAATGCTGAGTTGACAGGGGGGTTTAAAAAACTCACCCTGCCTTGCAGCAATACTTGCAATCCAAAGGCGACCTTTGGATTGCAAAGGCGGCCTTTGGATTGCAAGACCAGTGCGCTAAGCATTACATCACTGTGGCAGCATCTTTCCCTCCTTGCACAATAAAATTATCAATTGCCATTGTTTTTATTTGTTTGTTGGAGACGGTAAGCTTTCTGCTTTCGTTTGGAGAGTGGAGCGCCGGAAATGGCAGTTGCCAGGGAAAGGTTTTGTTGGGCCCTGCCCACTCTGCCGTGGAATCTTTCCACTCGGTAGCCGCCGTGGGACCTTGTTTAATCGATAAGTGGGGGAAAGTTGCGGCTGCTGAGGATGTTTTTTTTGTTTGGGCCATTTATAGAACTTTGTTTTACCAATTCACCATTAATGAAGGTATGGGGTTTTGTGTGTTTCCCCTCCCCCACCCAAAGTTAAAGTTGAATTAAACATTTGCTTCTCGGGCATGGAAACACTGGCCGGAGTGACCTTGTGTGTCCCATTTACTTCTCGGGTTTGACTGCGGCGCGATGCTCTTACGCGTTGCCTGGGCTGTCGTGTATCCGTTCTTGGCTTTGCGTTAAGTTTACATGACGTCGTGTGAGCATTACAACTGCGGATGTTGTAGATTTAAAACAGTTGTATTCGTGTCACAACTCTTAATGTGTCACCGAACAAGGGATTTTGCAGGTGAATTATTTAGGATAGATGCAAAATAAATAATCCCTCAGTCCAACAAACAAACATTGCCCCATATCCTTAAGAGACTGTTGGAGCAAGTGCTGTTTGTGAGCACCTATGAAGGTATGGTAAATGAAGCGGTGGATGGCCAGCGATGTTTACACACACAAACACAAACTAGGTACTCATTTATGGTCGAGTCGACCTAGGGGAGGCCCAGGACCGGTTAGATAATCTTCACTGATGTTGACCGTGAGCGGGAATCGAACACGGGAAGCCGGGTTCGGTTCGTAGCGCAGCACGCTACCCGCTGCACCACCGTTCTTCAGACACATTTATACACACGCGCCATCAATCGCTTGTCTACTTTTTCACCTTGGGTGGGAATTTTTTTTTTCTCTCAATTTTCAGGGGAACTAAGCTTGAAACGCCGTAACGCTCAGTAAACCATTTCATGAGTGTGCTTGTTTGTGTTTTAGCAAAATATCACATGGATCAAATGCGGGTTGGGGGGTTAACAAAAAAGCCCCAGAAAAGCACCTTAGGAGTCATAAATGGCACTCCTGTTTTGGCCAAACCTCTCCTCCGCATGTGTTTTTGATACTCTCTTCCCTACCCAGGCTCTTTACAAAGGCTTTCTGTGTGTTATATGTACGTTGATCTTCTTTCTCACCGTACGTAGCCAACGGCGCTAATCCGAGGTGGCTATAGCAGTAGCAGTTCCTCCACCGTTGATGACGACCACCGTCATCATCATCATCATCCTCTCCCATCGGCTGCTGATGTTTCCGTGTAATTCCACTCCACAAGTCGACCTTTGTCTCGGCGCTCATCCTTCGCCTCGGCGGTCCTTCCGCTGGCGTCGTGATTGCTTTTCGCATGGTTGCTGTTTGCTGCCGATTCCTCTGACATTGACCGTAATAACAGAAGTGGTCTTCGTTTCTCAATTCTTTCCGGTGCCTGTTTACTTGGTCGTGTATATATCATCGCAAGGCTGCCGGAATGAAACGTGTGCGTTGGTTAATGAGTAACTCGCCGTTCACGGCTGTGCACTTTCAAATAACCGGTTTTGGTTTCGTAGGTCCTCTGCGAGAGACTCGCAACCGAAAACCAAGAGCTGAAGAAGAAACTTGAAGGGGAAGGGAAACAACAGCATCAGACGACCGAAGCTCGTCGGTAAGACAATGTTTAGAGGCACGTGCCCGATTAGCACGGTTGGCTACGTACGGTGCGAAAGAAGTTCGGCGTACATATGGTATTCCCTCGCTGAGCATCTGGAACTCTACACGACTGCATCGAGAGAAAGCGATGAGATCCAATTCTTAAAAATAATCTGACAAGATAAAGAGATGTGTTATGATCATTGTAATGTCTTTAATAGCTTATTTCTGTGTTTATTTCAGGTAATTCATTAATCCAATATCATAATCCACGAAAAGAGGAACGCCATAATATAGGTTTTTTTTTAGGTTAGATCTTGTTTTGGGTTAGATAAGAAAAAAAACTGTTTTATGGATGATATTGGTTGCGTAAGGCTTCGTGTTAAAAAGAGGAACTATCGGTAGTTTTACCGAGCCTCTCCGGAATGTAACTGGTTTGGGGAATGTCAGCCTGGCTGTAGAGCTGCTGCAGTCACAACTTTTACTCACCACACCTGAGGGGGCTTGACTTCAGTGGGATTTTTACGGGCAAATCGTGTGAGAATTTAATAGGTAGTTTTTTTTCACTTAGCCAACGGCACGGAATATCCCGATCGAGCGGCGGTGGCACGCTTTGGTAAGCACTTTTTGTTATCGTCTTTGGTTCTTTCGGTAAAGTCACGTAGAATGAGAATAGCTTTGAAAGCTCTGTCGTCCCGACAGGTCTGTACCTTTCACCTGAAGACGGCCGCTTGCGTTGTGGCCGAAACGTCGTGAGAATTTTATTGTGTTATTTTATTATTTTATTCTCATTCTACGTGACTTTTACCGAAAGAACCAAAGAAGATGAATCCTTGCAGTCACGAAAGCTTTAAATCGCTTTTTGTTAGTGCGCCCGTGTGGTTTTTGCGTGACACCCGTTGCGATTTTGACAGTCGGCCGGTAGATTTTCACGCCCACCGCTTTGCCTTCGCATCGAGACAAAGATGGATGCTCAAACTCTTCCCCTGATATGCAAAGTAAACCTTTAATTAAGCGTGTTCAGTTCAGGCTGGGCCTTGCTCCATGTGAGTAAACACTCTTACAGAGATGGGGGGGGGGTAACGTGAAAGCGCCAAGAGATGTCCCCAGCCAGCCATAAAAAAACTTGTTTTATTATACTGTATGGTTGTGGTGGTATGTGGCTGCTGACGTCACGCAAACATAGTACATACGACACATGCGAATCAAATCAACGTAATTTATTACACGTGCATTCAATGCTTGTATTGTGAGCAAGGATGATCGATATTAGTCAGTTAATCGATGTATTGTTACCCCCATCTAAATTGTATGTTCGCGTGAAATTTTGCCAGAGGGCGATACTTAGGAGTTTGATGATGAGCAACAACACTCATGATAGATTCATCTCTTTATAGTCGTGACCCCAATGCAGCGCACCTTCGTATGGATTTTCCCGTCGAGGTTGAGACGTGATCGTGTGTGCGCGTGTGCGCATTTTAACTCTTCAGGCATGAATGTGAGAGGCCGCTTGGCGAGAAGAATGACAAAGCGAGCGAGAGTGAGAGTGACAGTGATGCCGGCCTCAGGGAATTTCACCAACTCACGGCCGTGGCCTCAAGACACAATCAAACATCCAGATCTGAAAAGCCAAAGGTACGTGTGTGTGTGTATCTGTGTCGTGACCTGTCAACGAGCCTTCCGACACTTCATGTGGCCTCAAAGTGCACCTAGCCTGGCACCGTCACTCGTTGGCAAATGGCGCATATTGGTATAAATTCCCACTCACGGCCAACACCAGTAACGATTTTCTGAACCGGTCCCGTGCCTCCCCTAGGTAGACTCAGCCTCAAATGACTACTTGATGCGGTGTGTAAAACATCGCCACTGGGCAGGCAAAGGCAGTCGGGCGTGGTGCTGGCCACCCACCCTCTCGTCCACCGTGCAGGCTTTCAAAGGTGCTGGCTAACAGCACTTTCCCCAATAGTCTGTTCAGGCTATACGGGGAATCTTTCGTCTTATTTGTCTTTTGCCAAATGCGCATAATTTCATAGACACGAGGCACAAGTTTGGGAGTCCATCTTACTATCTGGAGCGTCACGTAATCCGGAGATTACGAAAACAAAAGATTAACTATCGGAAGTTTTGCCAAATACGCTTTCCTGCTACCGAGAAAATGAAAGTGTTTTCAGAGCACAGATGCGCCACTCTCATGGGAGTTACGCACCACCGTGTATAGCAGTAAAGAAGAAAAAAACCAGAAAATTATCTTTCCGCGTAAAAATGTTTATTCATTTATCTGTCAACTTACGGGTTTTCCAGACCCATTGTCGTCCACAATGGTAATGTTGAAACCAGAAAACTGTGGACCAGTATTGACATTTTGGTGCCAAAGGGTTTTAGGGAACAGAGGTGGGAATTTCCCCGTGGTTTAAAATACAATGGCAAGGGTAAAAGTTACGCCGGTGACTTTATTCACCACGCAGTCTGCTGGGTGACTACACGGCCTTTCAGACTGTGGGAGAAGGTTTTTTTTTTTGCGTATTGTGGGTTTTTACGAAAATGAATTGTCAGGGTTTTTTTACGTTTGGACTCGCACACCACGGCTCGCGCGTGGCCGAATGGGTCTGCGAGCACCTGCAGTCAATCAACCAAGTCGGCCAACGGCTTTTACGAACACGCTTCTGTAGCCGCGCAACGTACGCGCCTCCGAGCGCTCGGTTATTAATTTGAATTTTTTGTCTGTTTTTTTTGTGTTTGTGTTCCCCTCCGACCCGCGAAGATGATCGAGAAGGCGGACAAAGCGTTGGGCGGCGACCCCGCCGCGGTGGAGGTGCTCTCGCAGAAGGTGCGGACGCTGGAGAGACAGCGCAAAGAGGTGAGTCGCCTTCCCGCACGGCAACTGTGTGACAAACGATTCGCCGCGTGTACCCCCCACCCTGGGCGGGCGGGCAGGCGGGGAGGGGGGGGACTTTGCCGAGTCGCCGTGATCCGGTATCGCGATTCGGTTTAAGAGTCGGTTCTCTCTTTAATTGTACGGCAAGCGTCGCTGCTGGCTGGCTTTTCGATTCGTGTATATGTATACTTTTAAGAGATGTGAACTCGCCGCATAAAGCTGTATATGATTCTAACAAGATTAAATAAGACGAAGCATCCGCTTGGCATTTCATATCGCTCGCTGAAATGAAGCATCGTTCCACTCCAAAGGTTTTGAGCCGCAACGATTCTTTGATATGTGGATTTAAGGGGGGGGGGGGGGGGGTCGCGATTCATTTGTCAAATCGTGTTCATGAGAGAATCGATGTTCTTCAATTTATTATGTCGCTAACGTTTCATTGAGGCAAATCGAGCGACCAAAGTCGCACGAGCAAGAGAGAGACAACGACGCCGGAGAGACGGTAGCAATGAGACGGTTACAGGATTAATATTTTAATCACAGCCCATAGGCCGCAACAATTTGTGAGATCAATTCTAGATCAGACAGCTTGATCCCTTCACCTGATGAAGGCCGCTTGTGTTGTGGCCGAAACGTCGTGATTTTTGTTGTTTTATTTTTTTACCTACGTGACTTTACCGAATAGAACCAAAGAGTACAATTTGTGAGATCGCTCGGCCGTGGGTGCGGATTGTTTACACCCTTATTTGGCACACAGCCCGCGACTAAACTCCGTCTTATGCTTTGCCAGCGATGCGAGTGGGTGTTGCGTTGTTTTGCGCGACGATGGGAAACGTTAACGTCGTTGGTTTTTTCCAGCTGCTGGAGGTGAACAAGCAGTGGGATGAGCAGTTCCGGACCATGAAACAGCAGTACGAGGCAAAGGTAGGGTGGGCGCAGGGCACAGTGACGTGTGTGCACAAAGTCAAAGGTCCCCTCCTGTAACCTACGCAGGCTTTTGGGCAAAGTGCTGTTAACGGGCGTCCAATATGAAAGGGCGAGCAGCGGTGCTCCACGGGGTGGCGCGGCCAATCGCGTGCCCAGCCACCTTTGTCTCCCCTGGTGCCGATATTTACACACACACACAGAGTGCTCCAGGTGGTCATTGAAGGTCGAGTCGACCTAGGGGAGGCCCAAAAACCGGTTCGGGTATTCGTCACCGATGTTGGCCTTGGCCGGGAATCAAACTCGGGTCGCCGGGTTCGCAGCAAAGTGCGCTGCTAGCCCCCACGGCACTGCCGCTGCCCCGCGACGCGTGCAAGTGCACACACGTATGTACACGTGCGCGCACACACGTGTGCGCGCAGTTGCGTGGGCTAGCGCAGATGTAATGGCTGAGCCCGGACAAAAGCACTCTCTGCTCCGTTTGTCGGCATTGTTGAAGCAGCTCTGACCACCCCTGTCCATCATCACGGTGCATTGTGTTTGGTGTGTTTGGGAAAGCTGGCTTGCAGCTGCAATGCACAGCATGGAGCATGGCAACCAGTTCTTTTGGTCTCGTACATTATCTGCTTTTGTTGTGTTGAACTTTTGGATAAAAAATTTAATTTTAACTAAATTTTTTCTTATAAAAACGCGAATGTTTCCAAAACTGATAGCAGCATTAATCGTCGTGCGTATACACATCTTACTGGTTTTTTTTTTTAATCAGTCCCATCACGCATATCTGTGGATAGCCGATATGAATCTTGCAGACGATAGACTAGTAAACTATTGTGAGTAATACTTTTTAGGGTGGTTAGAATTTTGTCACGAATTAAACTTCATTTGTCCGTCCATAAGTAAATCTGTCAAGTTACAGTTCTTGGGTGACTATCATCGTGCAGATTGCGATTTGCATTCCTTTATTATAATTGGAAGAAAGTAGGGGCCTGTGGTATTGATAATCCTGTTTGGATTTTAGGACATGTCTAAACTTCTGCACTCTTTTGCTCTAATTTGTTTTAAGAGATGGGAACAGTTTTATTTTTTTTTAAAATGAATTAACACGTTGGGTGAGGGGGGGGGGACCCTTACCCCACAAATCTTCGCGTCTGTTTGCGAGTACGGCGTGAGGGTTCTGAGTGTGCGCGTGTCGCTGCTGCAATAGATTAATTGGTGCCGCGTTAACAAAGACGGTCACTGCATCGCGCGCTTTCAGATGCGCCACTGTGGCCCTCTGGAACGCTCTTCCGATAATAGCAAGCCCATTGGAGCTATGGATGAGACCAGTCGATCAGGTCTGGTAGATACAGTCCCAAACATGTGGAAGAATGTATGCATGAAGTGTTATCTCCTGCAGGATAGTGTTGTAGAGGCAGTCTCCCTTCTTAACCTCCTTCCATTCCTCTTTTAGAGCTCACCTCTTCTCCACTGCCCATTCTCTTCCTTCTCCCCACCCTTCCATTTCTTTCCTTCCCTACACTTCCCTAGCCCCTACTCACCTTCTATAGTAGTAGTTACCCATTCCTCCTGCACTTTTAAATCTAGATTGAAAACTCTTTTCTTTAGAACTGCCTTTGGTGTTTAGTTTGTTGTTCTTCCTCCCCGAACGTCCGATTAGTGTGGTTGGCTACATACGGTGCCAAAGAAGTTCAACGTACACACATACAATGATGAAAAATATAAGAATATGCTTAACCCTTTCTGGCAATAAAACAGGAGGTGTTAAGATGTTCAAACACCAAATGGATACCTTTTGCAAGGCATCAAGTCTGCATCAACGACACGTACTTGTGGCAAAACATGCAAACAAACATGCTCTGATAATATATATGCATTAGTATTTGGACCTTGATTGGCCGATACCAGAGAATAAGGCCTTCTTTATGGCATTTTGGTACCAGCAAAAAAAAGGTCCCATAGATGTTACATACAAGTTGGCGCCTGGCCGGTCTCATCGACAAGGCCTTAGGCGATCGTCGAGCGGGGGTCTTGCGAGAGAGTGGCGTTGCTGGCGCCTCCGGCTAACGGGCGGCGCGCGTTACTCTGCTGGCGCCAGGTCGTGGAGCTGCGGGGTCGGCTGTCGGCGGCGCAGAAGCAGATGGCCACGGCGGGCGAGGGGCAGGAACGGCGCCAGCGCGAGTACGACCGCACGCTCGTCGTCGCCAAGAACCGTCTGGATCGTGAAGAGGTGCCCGGCCGTGCTGATTTGTTTCATATTCACGAAAAATTTGGCGACAGAAATATCCGTCGGCGATGTCTGTGTGTGTTTTATCACGGTCGGTGATTACTACGAGGGGACGGAATGGCAAGGAGATGTTGTCTCCGTCGCCTGGTTCGCAGGAGGTCGTCGTATTGATTCTAGACCCTGGCGATGCCAGTTGTGTGGTGGTCGTGTGGATTTTTCCCCGGTTCCTCCGGTTTTACCCTCCACGTTTAGAAAACATACGTTTTGGAGCATTTGTGTGCCCTTTTAAATCCCCACATGTGATGATGATGGTGATAAAGCCACTTCCATGAGCCAGGTCACCTCCTGATGAAGAGCTTCTCAAGTGGGCTTCACCTGGTAAATCAAATAAGAATGTAGTTTTCTAAAAGAAAAACCACAGATGCTCGCCTCGGCATGTGTGTTTCAAATCCAGGTCGTATTGCAGTGCAGCTTGTACATCTGCAGAGACTTTGCGCAGACTAACCGTGTGACTGTGCACCCATGCACCCTTTGCGCATGTCCAGCAAGAGCGGGAGCGGCTGCGCAAGGAGCTGGCGGAGGAGAAGAAGAAAACCAAGACGGCGCAGGAGCAGCACGAGGCGACCACACGGCACAAGGATCTGTTGGAGCGGGAGGTGTGGCGTCTCAACCAGGTATGTATGTTGTATGTATGTTGAATTTCTATCGCACCGTACGTAGCCAACCGTGCTCATCGGAGGAGCGGGGGAAGGGACGGCAAACTAAACGCAAACAGCAGGCAGCGCCCACACGTCTGGCTGTCACGGCCACCCACCGCCAAAACTGACTCATCACGGTGGCTTTTCATCAAAAGATTATTGTTATCGTTGGATAATATCACCTGCAATGATTCACTTTTAATAAACACAAACATTCCCCCGGCTACGGACTGGATAATTCCTATGACAATATTTGACACCTGCGTGGCAGTAATAGGATTTATATTCGGCGTGTACTGCTTCGTCGATGAAAATCGGTGCTTGCGGTCGTGATAACGCGCATAAAATCGTGCGTGTGAGAATTGCTCGTTTGTGATGTATATGTACGGCTCTTTTGCCAGTCCACTGCTGGATGAAGGTCTCTCTCCGTGCTCGTGTCAATCATGGTCAGTGCGGGTTGGTGAAGGCCCGTTTCGGATATCACTCTCACCACCGATGTCGGTCAAGGCTGCGAATCAAAACTCGGGCCGCTCGAATTGCCCGGTTCATTTTGCAGTGCGCTCTGACCTCTGCGAACATCCTAAATCTTCATCGTAATCTTGTACTGCGTGCGCGCGTGTGAATGCGTGGGTGCGTATACAGACGTAGGTGTGTCGTTACGCGTGCGTGCTGGTGTGTAGAGCCTGGCTGAGTTACTGGCGGTGTCTCCCGGCTGCGCCATGGTGCAGGAGTCGGCGGCCTGGCACCAAGCCCAGGCCTGCGAGCCCCCGTGCCGCCAGGAGGACCTGCGGACGCAGATCGCCGTCATGAGGCAGCAGGTGAGCGACCACCCCGTGAACCGCGTCGGTACCAACCATCCCCGTGAACAATGTTTTCTTTTGGTTTAACACGTAGGCTTTCGCGACCAATATTATTCATAATAAAGGTTTTTTGGGTTAGATCGCGTTTATTTATAAATGTGTCGTAACCCTCCACCACCCGACACGGCCAATCGGCAAAAAAAGTGTCACGTTGACAAAAGACAAATGATTCACTACTTTAGCCCACCGGTGTGTTGAAGAGTGAATCCACAACATTTACAGTTTGAGTACGACGTTTCGCTGGTAAATACATCCAGCATCATCGGGCAATTCGCCACCCTGCTGCTCTATATAAAACCGGGAGCAAGCGAGGGCTTTACCATTCTGGCGAATTGCCCGATGATGCTGGATGTATTTACCAGCGAAACGTCGTACTCAAACTGTAAATGTGGATTCACTCTTCAACACACCGGTGGGCTAAAGTAGTGAACTATTTGTCTTTTGTCAACGTGACACTTTTTTTGCTGATTGGCCGTGTCGGGTGGTGGAGGGTTACGACACATTTATAAATAAACGCGATCTAACCCAAAAACCTTTATTATGAATGTTTTCTTTTATCTGTACAGCACTTTGAATTGCATCTTTTGCACGAAATAGTGCTGTAGAAATACAGGCTTGATTAGTTGATTGATCCCAACCACCCCGTAGACCGCGGTTGATCCAAACTGCCCCGTGAACCGCGTCGATCCCAACCGCTTTGTAAACCGCGTCCATCCCAACTGCCCCGTGAACCGCATCCCAAACCGCCCCATAAACCTTATCAATCCCAACCGCGGTTGATCCCACCCGCCCCACGAACCCCGCCACTAATTCCTGCCTGGAGTGCAAGCGAGCGCTCTCCCGTCACAAACCGCAAACGCTGCTTGTAAATGGTGGACACGATCGTTACTTTCTGCGTAAAAATACTGAGCGTGGGGTGACTCGGTGGTGGCGCTTGGATTCCAGAGTCGATTGTTTTGAATACTTTTCAATTGTACGGTTGAGAGCCATAATGCATATGCTCTCTCCATCCTACTGTATTGGGACAGAGATGGGACAATTGATAAAAGGGTTGCCATAAAATTGGAGACACAAATCAGGGCATAGAGGAGTATTTGACCCTAACCCATCTGCTTAATTATATACCTCTGAAGACAAAACTAAAGTTGGAAAGCATTGCATAATCTACATACACACACGTGATTTTCCCTAACTTGTTTGTGTAGTTGCACGATAAACATAATTAAATGTGAGCAGCATGACACCTGATGGAGGCAGTACAGCAAGTAGGTGGCTGACCCATCTGTAGGTTTGCCAATCTATCCGCATGTGGGTTTTCTCCGGACACTCTTTTAAGGGAATTGGCCAAACGTGCCCTCCTGACAAAGGTTCTTAGGACTCGTTGAGGGCTGATCTGGAAACACTTTTAAAATTTTTATAGCTACGGTGGGGTCATGGATTAGCGCACTTGACTTGCAATCCAGAGGTCGCGGTTGAAACAATGGGGTTAGTTTCTTCAATACCCCCGCCACCACCTCTGTCCACAGTTAGCCGATTGGCAGGTCACGCGTTGTGGGGTAAAGTGTGGGTACTCCCACCTCTTCCAATTCGTCTGGCCAGCATGGAAGAGTAGGCCAACATGCTAAAAGGGGTGAGCTAGAGCTCCCTCTAGTGTGCGGCCATCCACCAGCGGTGGCTTGAGAATGCATTTGCAGGGTCTTTCCCGGTGGCGAGATGATATCTCCCTCACCTGGTATACAGGAGGTCGTGGGTTCGATCCCCACCCTGACGCCTGCTGTATATTTGGAGTTTGCATGTTCTACCTGTGGTCGTGTTGATTTTTCTCCGGGACCTCCGGTTTTTCCATCCACATTTAGAAACATGCGTTGAGAGTATTTGGCTGTTATAAATGTCCACATGATGATAAGCCACTTCGTTGACCCAGCGTTTCTGGGCAGGTCGCTTCTAAAAAAATAACTCTATAGCGCTCAGTGGGTCTTACCTGGTCAAATAAATTATTTTTTCATAGTTTTATATTTGGTGTTACCATCTTTCACGCGTCATGCCGGTTGTGTCTCATCCCGTCAGCTTAAGATCTACGAGGAAGACTTCCAGAAGGAGCGATGCGACCGCGAGCGGATGAACGCCGAGAAGGAGGAGCTGCGGCTGCAGATGGAGCAGAAGGTCACAGAGACCGGGCTTCTTCGCGCACAGGTGACAACACACGGAGAGGCGACGTCAGAAACTCAGCTCTTCCCGGCGCTCATCGTACAGACGAGAAAAGTCGTTTGGCGGTTGGCAAGTTACGCTGCCGCGGTGCAATGGATTGGCACACTGGACTTGCAATCCAAAGGTTTTGCCGGTTCTACCCAACTTGGCTCGGCAGTTAAATTTTTTTTTACTTGAATTGCCCCGCAACCCCCCACCCCACATTGTGCTGGGCTATCATTTGTGATAGCCAGGTCGCTTCTGAAAAAGAGCTATACAGCTCAGTGGGCCTTACCTGGTAAAATATGTTTGTTAAAGTTCAGTTTTAGTATAAATGGGTACACCACAGTAGATGGGGGTAGGTCGCATGTGGTAGGGTGGAGTGTGGGTACTCCCGCGCCATTCCATGGAAAATTAGGGCCCAGTAAGCCCTGGAGGAGTTTCTCTCCAGATCCGATTGCAGGGCTGCGCCATCAACCATTGCCTCTTAGCAGTTGACATTGAATGCATCACAAGCGTAAGAATCAATTAGTCCGTCATCGCCCCATCGAGCTTCGATGTTACGGGCTCAAATGTAATGACGGTTAAACAACGGGCTCGATATTCCTCCACCGTGATACCGGGAACCGTGGTGCAGGGACTAACAGAGGCAGTTTTTGCGAAGGGGGTGGGAACGGTTAAATCCCCAAGCGGCGTGTACGTATGTACGTTGAACTTCTTTCGCACAGTACTTAGCCAACCGTGCAGTACCGATTCGCGTGCGCGGCGAACGGCCGTTGCGAAATGACTCAGAGCGGACTTCAAACGAAAAAGTGAGCAATGAGTTGTAATTCACCCTGATTATAATTGTTAAATAACACTTGTCATGATTCATTTTGAAAGAAAACCTCCACCTCCCCCGCGGACTGGATAATCCCAATAAACATGAAATGCCCGCTCGACATAATTAAGCTCGGTATGCGGTAATGACTAATTATTACTCGCCTTGTAATGATTAATCAATTAACTTTGAGTTTTCCTGCTCATCGCGCACGTAACTAATTGTGCTCGTGTGAGAATCGCTCATTTGCGATGTATGTGTCAATCAACTGCTGGATGATGGTCTCCCCCACCTCACGCGGATCATGGAGACTTATTTGAAAGTGCTTAACCAGACTCCGGCACCTCTGATTATCGCGGTTAGCTATGTACGGTGAAATTCAAAATACATAAACTAAATATATTTTTTTACCTGGTAAGACCTACTGAGCTATATAGCTCTTTTTGAGAAGTGACCTGGCCACAAATGATAGTTCAAGAAAGTTGCTTATCATCATGTGGAAAGTTATAGCAGCTAAATACTCTAAACACAGGTTTCTAAACGTGGAGGGAAAAACCGGAATATCTCCGCTTAGCTTTCCGACCTCTGGGTGATTTGGTCGTTACTCGTGTATGCAAATAATATTCAAATGATGTCAGTTTGACATTGAGGCTTTAAGCATTAAAACAAAACAAAAAACTGTAGAAACGAAACAGAAATGGCAAAAACCTCTACGATCCAGACGATAAACAAATGGGATGAGAAAAATAAAAAAAAACAATCCTCGAATAGAATCGCGACCCTGAATCGTGACAATCCCACGAATCGCAAAGGGTGGCGACGTGAGACAATACGTGTTGACTTGCTAACTAACTCCCCGCTACCGGTGCTGGGCATCTCTGTCATTGGTGTGGTGGGTGGGCAGGGGAGGGGGTGGGTAGGCGGGATAAGTTTTGAAATGTTCATGTCTCTGCAGTTGACCACCTATGAAGAAGACTACAAGAAGGAGCGGGAGGAGAAAGAGAGGCTACAGAAACAACTAAGGGGACAGCGACAGGTAAGGCACCCCACTTGTGTATTAATTTAGCGTTTGCGCCAAACCTTGCAGCAGCTTCATCATTTCCAGAATGCAGCCACGGCCTCAGACGCCGCTAAAGCTTGGTTAGCGGACACAATCTTCAACAACGTGCAACCTCGTGTGTTAGTTGCGCAATATTCCTTAAGGACATCAAAATTTTGACGTTTTTTTGCTGCTGCTGCTGCCGCTACTACTGTGGCTCGCCCAGCACCACGGATCTCCCGTGTAAAATAGCCGCCACGGCTGGCTAAACGGGAGACCCGTCGTCATCTGCGCAACGAGTCAATAAACTTAACCGTGGTTCCCGCGCGCAGGTGCTGGACGTCGACCACCCGCTGGCGCCCATGGAGGCGACTTGGACCGAGCCGTATGGCGAGTACCACTACGTGGTGCGCTACCCGCCGGGAGACCCGCGCGCCGTCGCTGCCGTCGCTACCGCACACCCGCCAGCAAGCCCTGCGTCGCCACGCTCCGTGAGCGGCTCGGCACACGCGTGCACTCACGCTCACACGCTCAACACTCGCCCGCACACGCTCCCCCCCCCCCCCACACACACTCGCACACTCACATTCGCCCACACACTCGCTCGCATGCTCACCCTCGCCAACACACTCGCTCACACTGACCCACACGCTCGCATGCTCACACTCGCCCACACAAAGGCAAAGATTCCCCGTATAGCCTGAACAGACTGTAGCGGCAAGTGCTGTTAGCGAGCACCTATGAAGGCCGGCACAGCACACGAGGGCATGGGTGGCCAGCACCACGCCCGGCCGCCTTTGTCTCCCTAGTGGCGATGTTTACGCACCTCACCAGGTACTCATTTGAGGCTGAGTCGACCTAGAGGAGGCCCAGGACCGGTTCAGATAATTGTCACCGATGTTGGCCCTGAGCGGGAATCGAACTCGGGTAGCCAGGTTCGTTGTGCAGCTCGCTAACCGCTACACTACCACTCCCCACTCGCGCACCCACATACTCGCATTCCCACACACTCGCACGCTCACACTCGCCCACACACTCGCACGCTCACACTCGCCCGCTCACACTCGCACGCTCACACTCACACGCTCACACTCGGACAACCACATACTCGCGCGCTCAGACTCACCCACGCACTCGCACGCTCACACTTGCTCACACACTCGCACGCTCACACTGACCCACACACTCGCACGCTCACTCACTCACACACTCTCACACTGACCCACACGCACGCTCACACTCGTGTGCAAGTGGCATTATTCCTTTATGGAACCCAGTGTTAATATTTGTGTGTATGTGGTACCCTTTCCTTCCCCCACCGCCTCTCTCTTCAGCCTGCTCATGTCAAGTTTCAGCGTTGGCCAAGAGACCAAAGAGCTGGGCCACGACCGGCGGTAAACCCCGTGATGCCTGCGGACATGGAGGTGGACGGCACCGCTGCGGGTGAGATGTTCGCCGGGATGCCTGTCATTCCGTGGCCTCCCATCTCCTGGATGTACATCTTCCACTTTCTTTTCTACCCGTATGTTGTTGTTGTTGTGTTTTGCTATTTAATTCGAGTTTTTACGAACACCTAGGAAAAGGGCCGGCCTCCAGCATGCACATGCATTCGAGGTGCCCTGTTGGAAAGACACGAGCTTATTATTGCTGTACGACATGATAACTCGACTCTCGGTGTTGTCGTACTTGGATCAAAGGGCAAACGCGCGCGTGACTCCGCCTTAATGGGATTAAAAGGATGGCACATGTAATCGTGCCATCCTGACTTCTGACAAACTATCGAACTAAGAGTTGGTTTCATACAGCGCCATTCACGCGAGCCCTCACAGCACTTTACATTAAATAACCCAACCCTTAACAATAACAAACTCGATAAAATCCTCAACAAATGTAAAGCCTTAACAGAACGTTCCACAGGCTTGCATGAGCAGATTTACAATCTAGAAAAGCCTCAACGAAGCCTCGGTGAAACGTTGTTATAATCAGGTTATGTCCCGCGCTGTAATACCATCGCTGTGGAATCGACCGTTTGTTTAGCCGAGAGCATGATCCACCGCAGACTTAAATTCCACGGAGGTGAGTTAAAGAACAAGCTGGCTATCGGGCAAAGAGAAGTGCGGTTTGACATACAACCACGCGGTGACGTGTTTCGAGATTTGGCCACAGATATGAGCAGAGAGAGTGTCTCTGGGGACACCATCAAACAGGTGGTGTGATTTGTGACACGCATTGTTGATTCATGTGCGCTTGCGTCATCGGCAACGGATGAATCATGCTACTCGATCTTAACGCAGAGCCACGCACCGTCAAAACTTCCAAAGGTGGCTCATGGTTCTAGTTTCTGCGTGCGTAAATGTTTATTTTATTGTCGGCTGGAAATAAATGTTTTGGATTTTATTTGCAATTCGCCTCCACCGCTGTAACATTTCACCCACTGATGGGGCTGTCACCTGGAATCTTGTATAGGGATGCCGTTGTTAATCAGAATATTTGTACTGGAGGAATCCAATGAGCTATAAAGCTCTTTTTTTGAGAGATGTCCAGTCGGGGGTGGCTCAAGGGTTTAGAGTGTTTGAGCTGGTACTGTTCAGATTCAGGATTCAAATCTTGAGTTTCAAACAACCCATTATGTTAAATCGGTGTTTTAAGTGCGGTGAGTTAATGGTCTCGACCCCGTCGCCAATAACCGGATCAAAAAGTCCTCATCCTAAAAAAGTTTGAGTTTTTTTATTATTAATTCGGCTAAACTCCAGCCGTAAGTGTTGGTTTGAATGTCACGTGACAAGCGCTTTTGCCTGTTGCGTGGATGAAGGGAAAAAAAATGTCACTTGAAGGGGATCTCGGAATAAGTTCTGTGATATCGCCTTCTGGCGGACTTTTTTTTCTAACACACGGGGTTGGATTCACCACGGTTGGACGACTTGGAAACTGCGAAGACTTCGCAAAATCAACAACAAAAATCCCAACCAAAACAGTTCGTTTAACCCCCTCTGGTCTACGGTTCTCGATAAATTGCGCGGGCACGCTCTGCCGTTATTTGTTCACCTTGACTTCCCCTTTCCTTCTCCCTTATCTGACAGGATCCCCAGAAAACCAGCGGTAAAGCATAAGCAGCGACTGGGCATTGGGGGATTTGTGTTCCCGAGAGGCGGTGGGGAGGGTGGGGGGGAGTTTTTCCCTGCAAGTGTGTTCGCCTGTACCACTCCGTTCCCGTGCAGCACAGGGGTCCACATATGCGTTGGAGCAGATGGAGAGAGTCCTAGAGCGTTCAATGGTGGCGGCGGAGGAGGAGGGGCGGGGGGAGGCGGCTGTACTTGGAAGTCGAGGAAGGGCCGTGAGAGGGTGATGATGCCGTGGGTGAGCAGGAAGCGTTGGGGGCGCACGGAGAAATGTACCGCGTCACTGGGCCCCGGCAAAAAAAAAAAAAATCCCTCGCCAGGAATGGGAAGGGATGGTTCACGTCACGGCATGAATTGATCAGGAGCCGCACCTCTTTTTACCCCTCTCGCCCCCCAAAAATTATGGGGGGGGGGGGGGGAAAAATTCAAGGTGATCCATTTATAGATACCCACTAAAATAAAACACTTTTGAGAGGCTTTAACTCATGGCATCCTGTACACACCGCACAGCCACGAATCTCTATCCATACCCTTACCAACTTGCTTCTTCCCCCAGTCTCCTGTAAGATTGGGAAGCCATTGCTCTCACCATATTTAATCAGCTGTTGAGAATAAAGTAAGGTGGTGCAATTGGGATATCTATAAATGGATCACCCTGTATATATCTTGATTCCACTTGAGGCAAAAGGATGCCGTTTTATTAAATGGTTTGTTGTCACCAGGTGCCCCAAAATATAATTCCTAGAAGTAAAACTAAAGCAACGATACATTTATACGACTGGAATTGCAACAGGAAAGCTACGTGTTGTAGCTTCCCCCTGGCTTTGTATAGTCAAGCTTGTATGATTATGTGGGGTGTGCTATTCCGTGTTTGAATGCGAGGGTGAATGTTGGTCAGGAAAGCCGCGAGTGTGAGTTTTGCTGTGTGGGTGGGCTGGTGGAGTTGCAGTTTGTGGTTTGGGAAGGTAATTGTTTGATCGTGTTACCTTTTAACTTAATAAACTAGTCATGTTTCAAACCCAGTTGCTGCTTTAATTCTAAGAAAATTTTGAATTTCTGATACATTGTATTTACAGTGAATGATGTCGGTGTATTGTTTTGTCCATGGGGCCGGAGGTTAATTCTTCGGTACCGTTGGGGGGTGGCAAACGCCTACCAGCAGCAGTGTCTGCATACAGCAAGTCGAGGTGGATCGTGTTGTTGTTGTTGCTATATCCGTTTTTGAACAGGAGATGAAATAAACATGCTGAGAACGCATGGAAGGGCGACCTGGGTTGATCGCGATAGCGTAACTTGTTGAATAAGTCTTGCATAATTCACTTCAATAGGCGCTTTCAAGATCTTGGAATGACTAAAAGTGTTGCCATCTCGGGTGGTACCAACGAGTAACGTATTTGGTTCGGGCTCATGGACTGTGTTGGGCTCCCCATGTGAGTGAGTTGGGATTTTGGTGCTGTGTAGTGTTGATGTGATGTCAAAGACAACGTATGAATGTATTTTTTTTCAATTGTGGTTGCCTTGTTGGTCCACCGCATTCCACGTCCCCTCTCGTGCTCGCTTCGTTCCCAGCCTTCTCTGTCTCTCTCTGTGCCCAATCCCGTTTTTGGCCCTCGCTCCTTGCAGCCCTCCTTTGTAAAAAAAAAAAAAATTTCCCCTGTTCACGAAGCAATCCCCCCTCCTTAACGTCATCCGTTCTTCTCTCAAAGCCTCGCCACCTCTTCTCCATTGCTCCATTCTCTTCCTCTTCCCTCCCCTCGCCCCTCCACTCCTTCACGTCCCTCCCCTACCCTCATCCCCCCTCTATCGCTGTCATTCATTCCTCAATGGTTTGCATGACCCGTGCCATATAAATCATTATTTTCTGTCCCTCTTCTTGTAACTGTGTCAAGCGCCTTGAGTGAAGGCATTCTATGAATATAAATTCGATTGAATTAATGGACGATGTTGGGGTTCTATCTCTGTAAGATGAGACTGCTGTTAATAGAAACTAAGCCAGCAAGGTCACAGTGATAATCCTGAATGTTTCGTTTCCCGAGAAAGGGACATTGTGGTGACGTGTTATAAAAGTCAACTGTGGCTTATTTCAGGGTATGAGTGAGGGATGATTTTGGTTTCTGTGTGGCTCCTGTTCTGATCGAAAGAGTGAAACTAAGAGCGTGCGGTGTATTCAATTGACATGATTGTGACGTTTAATTGATGACGAATGGTGATGCCTGTTAAAGTGGTATTTTATGACAAGTTGAAAATGTATGACTCTTATGAATGTGGCAAAAAAAATGTTGCATGGAAATACCAGTTTCAAATTTACAAATGAGAGCACACTCACGGATTATTCAAAGCACTGATATCAGCGGTGGTCATACACATTAATTTTGCGTGAAATATTGGTTTTTAAAATGTTAAGCATTCCAGTGCATTGGTGATCTTTTATGCATTTGTTCTTAACAGCTGTAATTGTTCTGAAGACACTTATGCAGTGTCATGGGTAATATATTATAAATCATTAAGCGCATTCATTCTGATGGTTACTTTAGTCATTTGCAATATCTCCATAACCTGCACTTGCCCTATACCGTACATATGAACACCGTTCAGCCACAGTAACCATATACGTAACTATATACAAGTTAGGACATTGCTTAAGACGAACGCTTTGGTTCAGCAGAGGTGAATTGTGAGTGCTGTTTGTGACGACAGGTTTTGCTTATCTGAGACCACGATGTGTGCATGTCAACAAAGCTACCCATGATCCTTTGCAGAGGGCAAAGGGCGTAATCTATAGTCTCGCCTTGAGTCAGGTTCCTCTGGGTACCGCTGGATAGCCGCGAGTACAGCTTACCGTTCCGGCTGTGTGTCGGGTTGTGTTCATCGTTTCATGACCTGACCCGTACCCAAACGGCAAGCTGTACAAAGGACTTTGTTCCAACTCGTTTTGTGCGTAACCGACCTGATCCAGGACCCGAGTGTAATCAATAGGAAGCACTTATATCCCTAAATTCTTTATGCATTATGAACCAATTAAACGAAGCTCAGGGATTTTTTTTTTAATTCGAGAATGGTTTTCCCAGTTGAGCCGCGTGTTGAGCGGTCATTCTCCCAAGCTCTCGCCACGCACGACTACGGGCATCCGGCATCGGCTTCAGTTCAACGCCGCAGCAGAAAGCCCACGGCAGCAGCAGCAGCGTGGCAAAAGCTCGAGAGGGAAATTGTGCAGCCCGACCCGGCAAAACCGCGCTTGGATTACGGGAGGCCGCCCAATCTTTTGTGTTGAAAAATCATTGCTCGCGATAACTTACGTTGTTGTTCCGAACCCATTTGATTTGGGCATTGTTACGCAATCAAAACTGCCGCTTTATTTTTGATGGCCACACGCCAACAACATGCCACCCGGCTATGATGGCAAAGTGTCGTGATTGTAATTTTATTTTCTTAAACCCAACTGTCATAGCCCACCTGTTCAGTGCCATCTGCGATGTGTGCGATGCTTTTGGTGCACAAGAGCAATGGGCGGATTTAGATCGGAGCGCGCACAACTGTCCATGTAAAATCGAGGCTCGTATTAAGCATGGCTGAGCAGCTAAGTAATTGAAGGCCTTCACACTCTGGAAATGTACCGGGTTTTTCTCAATGTTAAACATCACGTGAACATTAAGCCCATTTATTAACTCAATACTGTATACAAGCCAAATCAACTTTATAAGGAAGTGGGATACCAATAACTATTGTATTATTACACAGGGACGTGGGATTACAGTAATATGACTTAATTGCTTAAGCTTTCGTTATTTGCCAATTTTATTACACAAACATCGTTTACATGAAAAAAAACGAATTCCCGTCGGCAGATCACATCCTTTGCTTCAACCCGTATATGCAGTTTCCACATAGTGCTGCCGCTGCCTGACATCATACGGCCACAATTTGTTTAATCTCAAATGGTCTTAACACGGCTGGGTGCGTTATGCACCCAGGTAGTGATGTCATGACACATGCAAAGCATGCTGGGGTAGACCCAAGCTCATTGGGCGTAATAGCACGTGTCACTGTCTTGGAAATTCACCTCTGGTCTGCGTATTTTATTACTCAGAAGCTAATGCGCTTAAATCCGTTGACGGCTTAATCCAGTGACAGCCCGGGTGAGCCTGAAGGGGCGGGGGAGGTGGATGTGGAGGGACAGTTTTGCAGGGTCGAGCCGGGGCAGGACGTGGAGCAGATGAACTCGACCACCAGCCGAGAGGGACCTTCTTTGGCTTGAGTTTCCTGCCGGCCGTGTGTGGCGAAATCCCCGCGTTTCTACCGCGGACCCATGCGTGCCGCGTCCCAGGTTGAATGTGGGTGCGGGTTTAACAAAACCAAAACGAACTGCCCCACAGAGTTAAAAGCCAATTTAGATACATTTCAACCACGTGGCACGATGGGCCCGTCTGTGTATTTGCGTCTTTGTGTGGCTGAAGGTGCAGAGGAGGATGTTTTGCATGTGGGAAAGTTCCACGTTGCGCAAGGTTTTGTTGCCCTGTTTGCGTGCCGACCGGTACAAGGTCACCGCCCCCCCCTCCCTCTACCACGACCCTGACAACCACTGAATCTGATCTTGGGCTCATCTCCAGACATTCCTGCAGCCATTATTATCCACGTTGGTTATTTGCGGTGACATTTGGTTATATCGATATGCTTTCGAGGGTGGCAGTTAAGGAGGGCACCCGTGAGGCGCACAGACACGTGAGACGCAAATAAAGGCAAAATGCCGTGTTCTTAATTCCAATGCGTATGGTTTGCAAAGTTGTCTAATTCCTTAAACGCTTATTGTCATCGACAACCAGGAAAAAAAACCTCTTTCATTTCCGCAATAAAATTAACGTACCTGTATACCTGTTCATGTTTTCACCTATATACAGGGCTTCATTTGATTATTTTTTTCAAATGTATCATTGTGGAATGCTTTGGTGTCTGCCGGCTGAGTCGCTCTTCCAAAAAAAGAGCTTCTTAGCTCTATGAGTTTCACTCGGGAAATACCATTTTGATTATGATTATTTTTGGCGACCGACCCCCCCCATTCCGCCCACCCTCCTGGCTGGATAACAGTGGAGGGGGGGGGGCCAGGAGGGTCTGTGGGTGAGAGTCATTATTTTCCAGAGGCCAACCCCGGACAGCTCTGTGAATACATCACTTTATAACTTCGTCTAAAACTCGACCCAAGCCAACCACTGCGGTGTGCACCGAGCCTCATTCATCACGTCCAGTGGTGGTGTTTTGTTGCTTCGAGCATCTGCATCGGGTGCCCCTCTGTGAAGAGATGTGCGTTCTAACACGCGCGAGCAGCTCGTTATTAACGACGTGCGGGAGGCTGTTCTACCACGCGCGTGCCAAAGGTCGCCGCCGTGAGCCTCCCGCCAGCGGCGTTGCCGTACCCTGGGAGTTTTAACACAACCAGCACAAAATGTCCCGTAAAAGGAAGTTCGTTATGTACGCGATGATAATAAGACGGGGGTAAAAAAAAAGGAATATTTTGCCGAGATTTCTTCACGTGGCTGGTACGGTGGTGTGTTCTGGGGCAAAAAATAAAACTTAACTTGTTCTTTTGCCAGATAAGCCCCAACTGAGCGATATACAGTAGCTATTTTTCAGAAGCGACCTGGCTCTCACAAATGATAGCTCAACGAAATCAAGTGTGTAGAAATGTGTAGCAGCCAAATACTCTAAAAGGGATGTTTCTAAATGTGGAGGGGAAAACCGGAGGACCCGAAGAAAAATCTACGCGACCACGGGGAGAATATGCAAACTCCAAATATAGAGGTGTCAGGGTCGGGATTGAACCCACGAGGTAGTTAACATCTCGCCACAAGCTCATCGTTCAGAAAGTCGGGTTGTGATGAGAGCATGTGAATAAAGTGGCTAATGTTTTTTTTAATACTTGTGTTCAATTAGCGAGCCCGCGTGGGAAGATGGCGACATCAAAGTAGATTAACTGTCCGTTGTATTCTTGGGTTGGACCGCGTGCTGTTCGGCATGATCTCAGCACTTGGAGCAAAACGTCGGACATTGTGCCTTCAGCACGCGGTACGACCCACGAAAAACATCGGAGAGCCGTACGGAACAACCGCGAAAAACCCTACCCAGTGGGCTCAAAGGTAGATTCTCACGCGTTTCAGTGTCGAGAAATGGGATTGTCAATTTTTGTTTCCCAGGACTTCTCATTAACAAGGGTTAAATATTGGACCGCATTTGCACTGCGGTAGTGAGAAGTAACCTCCCTCGCCTGGCATGTCAGGAGGTAGTGGGTTCGATCCCAACCCTGACGCATGCTGTATATTTGGAGTTTGCGTGTTCTCTCGGTGGGCGCGTGGATATATTTCCGGGTCCTCCGGGTTTTCCGGAGGAATTATTTTGGCTACTGTACATTTCCGCGTGATGGGCCGCTTCGTTCAGCTTTCATTCGTGGCCTGGACGCTTCTGAAAGAGAAGCTAGCAGCTCAGTGGGCCTTACCTGGTAAAAAAAATAACAATACTCTGGGCGGTAATGTCAGCCAGCCGGACAGTTGAGATTTGAGTTGGAAACCTTGGTGACCCCACGAACGGCCCCATGGCCCTTACGTGGACCCCTAGATCCACTCGGATGTGTTGGGGTGAAACCTAGTTGAGGACACGTGGTATAGCAGGTCTTGTCACGTGTGTTTTGTGAGAAAGGTCTGGTTGGCCTTGGGTAGGTTTAAAAAATATATATCTGTATTAATGTATTTACGAGTGCAACGATTTGCTATTCGCATTAAAGTTTAACTTGAGTGTTCCAGACGCTACGAGTAGCCTTTACTAATCCTAGTTGTGATTATGCTGTCGCAGAACTATGTAACGCAAACGAAATTCAATAAAGGTTGTAATCTAATTTCTGCAGCGCACTGTTTAATACTACACCGTAGTGGGTTTTTTGTGTCCAAAGTATCAGAAGAATCGGGGAAATTGCAAAACTTTGTTCTCAACGTGTATTGAATGTGAATCTATTTCGGCAGTTTTTTTGCACTGAGCAAAAAAAATCACGTAAATAAGTTGGGTACAGGAAATCAAGTTTGGTCGCTTAACAGCCGATCGGTTCCATGAAACCATAATAGATTCTGATACGCTAATTGCCTTGCCCTAAAAAATACAGTAGGCGACGTTTCTGGCAATCGCCCCTTTTTCATAGCACAAAATAAGTATATAAATTATTTGTTATTAAATGTGTTGAGTTTTTATTAAAATGTATTGTGTTTGTGCAACCACTGCCAACAGCATCACCAAATAATTGTATGACTTGGAAGGTTCGTCAATCATTCAGTTTTAAACCTCAACAAAACGGAAGAGCAACACACCATACATTTGAGGATTGAAAAAGCAAAAAGTGCCCTTTCCAAACTGCGATGGGTGGTTTATTTTCTGAGAGGGCACAAGCTGACCTGAGAGCGTTCAAAAACATTCAATTGACAGAACAGCTTGGCAACAGCCACCGCCTCATTGCCATCTGCGAGTGGCAAAGCAAAAAGATTTTGAGCAAATACCGCGAAGTGCGCGAGAGTCGAGTGCGTGCTGGAGGAAAACCCAATCTGAAGAGCGGGTGTATGGATTGCGAGCCATTAACATCGACCGTCTTCATCTACTCATTTCCACAGACCTGTGACGACACCAGACCATGTCGGATTATTTCTAGATTTGAAGCTTTCGTGACTGCAAGGATCCTTACTCTTTGGTTCTATTCGGTAAAGTCACGTAGGTAAAAAATAAACAAAAATCACGACGTTTCGGCCACAACACAAGTGGCCTTCATCAGGTGAAGGGACCAACCTGTCCAGAGGGCAGCGTTGGAGTGAAGAAAAGTCAAGCGCAGGTCGCCTCCTTTAAGCTGTGAGTGGGTAAACAGAAAAAACGCCTTGACAAAGGAATTAGCATAAAAATGTAAAGCTGTGCAAGCTCGCAAATAGCATCAAAAATACATTAGCACTACAGTGAGAGTTTGGGATGCCACTAATTGAATGAACATACTATACCATTAAAAATTCCTTAACGTTTGGTTCGATTTAGAACATCTTTCCAATGGTTGCTTAATTTAAAGCCATCTTCTCGGTTGAAATTGTGTCTGTGTTTGTAAATCTGAATTGCCTCGTGAACAAATCTGATAGAAACCCGTGGGTTTACATAGAACCTTGGTATCGGAGAAGACTATATCGTGATCACCCACAGCGTTGTAACAGTGGTCAGAAGAATTCGTTCTGCCGTGTTTCAAATCTGATTTGTGCTCGCGAATTCGGTCAGAGACATGTCGTTTCGTCTCCTCGATATAGCAGTCACCACAGGTGCAGATCAATTTGTAAACTCCGGGGTACTGTAAGTCAGGAATGACATCCTTCACGGAAGGGATCAGGTCACGGATTTTGTGTACTGTATTGCACCGGACCAGGATCTTGTGTTTGTTTAGAATATTGGAGATCTTTTTAGTAACGCCTGCTATATGGTAGTGTGATGGTTTTGATCAGAGTATCAAGTGGTTGTTTCTGTATGGAGGGAGAAACAGCTTGGCGGATGGTACGGTCAGAGTATCCATTCCTTTTGAGGGTCAGATGTACATGTTTTAATTCATTGGTCAGGTGGTGTTGGTCCGAAATGCAATGAGCCCTGTGGTATAACGTTTTGATGAGAGAATTATTTTGCGTCGGGTGGTGGTGGGAATCAGGTTTCAAGTAGGAATCTGTGTGGGTGGGTTTCCTGTAGACAGAATGTCCCAATGAACCATCAGGTCTCCTCAAACAGAACATCCTAGAATGGCAGCTTGCCATCTTTCTCCACTTCCATGGTGAATTTGATGGCGGGGTGTCTGGAATTACTTGAAACTACTTGAAACCTGATTCCCACCACCACCCGACGCAAAAGAATTCTCTCATCAAAACGTTATACCACAGGGCTCATTGCATTTTGGACCAACACCACTTGACCAGTGAATTCAAACATGTACATCTGACCCTCAAAAGGAATGGATACTCTGACCGTACCATCTGCCAAGCTGTTTCTCCCTCCATACAGAAACAACCACTTGATACTCCGATCAAAACCATCACACTACCATATATAGCAGGCGTTACTAAAAAGATCTCCAAAATTCTAAACAAACACAAGATCCTGGTGAGAGTCTAGTGAGAGAGATCAAACACGTTAAAGACGCACTACGACAGAATGGCTACAATAATGCTCAAATTAACAGAGCACTGAATGCCAAATCACGATCGCAAAGCAATACTGCTGAAAGCGATCAGATTGTTAAAACAATAACAATTCCATATATCTCAGGAGTAACTGACAAATTAGCCCGTGTTTTGCAAAAGCAAAACATTACAGTAAGATTTGGTACAGTACACAAAATTCAAAAACTAGGATCTTGCACTTAAGACGCATTACCTAAATTATCAACAGAAGGTGTATATCGGATTAATTGTTTATGTGGCAGCTGCTACATTGGACAGACGGGACGTAACATCAGCATAAGACTAAAAGAACATCAGAGAAATATGAAATTATCTCAAACACAACTGTCGGCAAGATGCTTGTCAACAAGGACACTCAATTGATTTTGATAATGTTGCAGTGTTGTGTAAAACTAATTATTACTGGCAAAGACTAATTAGAGAATCCATTGAAATTGAGAGGAATAAAAATAACTTTAATCGCTCTGACAGCTACAGGCTTAGTGCGGCCTGGAAGCGTATTATTAAATAATACACATTACAATTCCTTATAGGGGAAACACATACTAATTAACGGATTACTAACATAGCATATAATCACTAACACACATTACAACTAATTCCTAATCTACAACTCATTACTAATCATAACCATTGACTGATTACTAATCGATTATATAATTACAATACCCCCCCTCCGCCTCAAATCACTGCACCTGAATGAGTTAAATGATGACGTCACCCTGCTGCTCTATTTAAGACCGGGAGCAAGCGAGGGCTTTACCATTCTGGCGAATTGCCCGATGATGCTGGATGTATTTACCAGCGAAACGTCGTATTCAAACTGTAAATGTTGTGGATTCACTCTTCAACACACCGGTGGGCTAAAGTAGTGAATTATTTGTCTTTTGTCAACGTGACACTTTTTTGCTGATTGGCCGTGTCGGGTGGTGGAGGGTTACGACACATTTATAAATAACGCGATATAACCTAAAAACCTTTATTATGTATAATTAAATATCACTACACAGGCGGCTACATTTACAGTTGAACCCCTCTTAACGACTACCCCTGTGAACAACTAATCGCTTACCTACGGCCCTCCACAGAGCCCAGTGGGTAGTGTATAGTGCAGTGTATAGGCGTGTAGTGTATAGGCGTGTAGTGTATAGTATAGTGTATAGTAGTGCAGTGTATAGTGTAGTGTATAGTAGTGCAGTGTATAGTAGTGTAGTGTATAGTAGTGTAGTGTATAGTGTAGTGTATAGTAGTATAGTGTAGTGTATAGCAGTGTAGTACCTCCATAGAGCCCAATGTGTTCGCTTACCGACCATTCCCCTGTTAACGACGGGCTATTGTAAGTATAGTAAATATTAATGCATTGATTATCCAGGTTTCAATTATTTTGTTATGTGTTTCTGTTACTATCTTTATGTAATCATATCCATTGTTTAAATATTATAAAGTACCGTTTTTTAGGTGAAAAAGGGTAACTTTCGATGCTGTCAGAACGAATTAAGCCTTTAACGTGAATTTCCGATACTCGCTTAACGACCAAAATCACTAAACGAACGGTTTTGTGAAACCAATTCGCTTCGTTAATAGAGGTTCTACTGTATTTTCAGTTGGGTAACCGGTGCGATGGCTTTGAGAGAGAGGCATTACCTTATCTGTGGACCCGATATATAAGCTTGTCGCCAAGAGACAGGGCCAAGGGAGCTTCTGATCCCCTATTAAGTCGCACGTAATGTCCCATTAATTACCCCCTATCGGCGGGAAACAACAGCGGCAGGGCACAAACACAGAAGCACACAGCACAGCGTTTGAGCACAGATGCAGCATAACGATGGCACAGTTAAATTGTGGTGGTGGTGGTGGGGTTGGGGTAGCGATTGCGCAGTGATTAACGCAGCTGTCCTACCCAGCCACGGCTGACATTATTGGCGAGTGATATCCGAAGCGGTCGTGGGGCGGACATCATCATCACTACCCCGCACTGACCCGCCAGCGAAGTGGGTGGATATTCAATTATTATATTTAATCACAGCTGACCGGGAGCTGAAGACGGACGCGTTGGATGTGAGATGTGAGTGGTGTGCACGTGGCCGCTTCTTCTGCCGTTAACGTGTGCAACCTTTACACAGCGAGGCAGGCGTTTACAGAGTGAATCGAAGGTTTCCCGTGCGGCCTTAACAGACTCTTGCAGCAAATGCCCCGGGTAGCGCAGTGATCATCATCGCAAGGCCCACGGGGCCCCTGGTGGCCTTTAGTGCGGCTCCCCACAATACACATGGTGAGAAGAACCCCATTATTATCATCATCATCGTGCTGTTGTCAACCCCAGCAATGGTTTCAAATGCGTGGCGGCTCTCACGCACTGATGATGTCTTATCGGCCAAATTTCTCGCCGCCTCCCCCCCCCCCCTCTGAAATTAGTGACAAACGCTGTAATACAGGTGTTTTGGGTTAGATCGCGTAAATATATGAATGTGTCGTTAAACCCGCCACCACCCGACGCAGCCAACTCGTAAGGGTTGTCACGTGAACAGAAACGTGCCGATTCTTTACTAGTACAGCACACCGGTGTGTTGGATAGCAAAGCCACGACATTTACAATCTTGAGTACGACGTTTCGCCAGTAATCACAACTAGCATCGTCAGGCAACCCTGCGTTATG